GCATTCTCAGATCGTAGCATCTGAACCGAAACTCTGAACTGAGAGTGAGTAGTACCTCTGAACTGGTCGTGGTTATGCTCTGTTTTAGTTTCGATTTCGGTTTCGGTTTCACAATACCAGCAGCTGATGAGATCATGAGGTGAGGGCAAGAAAATCAATAGTCATAGGCTGTGCTGACATTGTGTGAAGATTCACGAATTGAGGGGTTTTTCACGGATTTTTCGGTGAGTTTGACGGTTTGACAGGTTTTTTTCAGCTACGAACACGCCCGGGGTATAAGAGATGGCCCTGTGAAAATTGCATCCAGATCGCTTGGGCGGTTTGACCGCCTATAGGGAAGATACATACATAGATACATACATAGATACATACATAGATACATACGAACTCAAATATATATTAGATAATTATAGCATTGGAAAATTGCATATAATTAAGTGTATAAGCAGAGTAAATGAGAAATCAGTGCAATAAAAAAACTTACATCATAATGTTTAGGCCTTACTAACGATGACACACCATTGATACTTCTGTTCGGGTCAACAAGAATGCTTCCACCTCCAACCAGTACAACAGGCACTGCAGATGCACTGACCTACAAGAGAACATTTCAACGAATAAGGCAGTAATATGCTACAGTTGTGCTCTTCGTCTACAGCTGTGGTCATTTACTTCCCCATAGAGATGATAGTCCAAATTTTCATTAATACAAATACACAGCCACTGACAATGGTATTTTAGGGTTTAAGGTTTTAAGTATTTAAGTTTGTACTAGGTGGTACTGTGCCCAAAACATGTCCGTATGTAGAAAACAAAAACAAATAAAAAACATTTCCAACGATACGCTACCTTCATTTTATCAATTATAGTCTCCACCATGTCGTGGATTCTATTCATTGTCACTGCTACCAGCTGTGCATCAGCTTTCACCAGTGACGCGTCACCTATGCTGCACATGCCCGCAGCCACGGCAATGTCCGTCGCAGTGAGGGTCGCTCCACCGAACACCTGACCCTCAGTGGACAGCTGATAGCCAACACTCAGCGGGCCAACCTGCAGGGATGTTGTAAAACCTATTAATCAGCACATACATAATGACTACACCAAATATACCAGTTTCATTGCGACCTGTGTATGTAGTGTGGATAGCACAGATTCCCCCATATCACACTTTGCTGTTATTAATTTGAAGTCATGAGGATAAAATGTTATTAAGACAGGGTAAACGATTGACACGTGTTTTGCTGGTTCAATTAGAATATAAAATTTCTACAGATAAGGCACGTATGTGTATGTGTTCATGCGTGTGTGGCTGTGTGCATGTGCGCGAGGAATACCTAGACTTACGTTATGGGATGTGACCAGTGATCCTCCTCCCAGGCCGATACTGGTTACATCTGGCATTCGGAAATTAGTTCTGACCTCGCCTATCTTTGGAGAAAATGCACACAGGTACTAACCCAAAACAGGTAATGCATTTCCCAAAATTATTAAATCACATGCAAAGAAACTTCTTCATTATACACATTATTTCGATTAATTAGTAAAAATTATAGCAATAGTAAGTAGTACTATATACTACTGAGTAATACTCATATATCACATTTATGATGTAGATTTGATGAAAATGATTATAAATTACCTTGACGTGAGTAGAGGCCTCTCTGGGAAAGCCTCCAACTAGAGCACCGACATCTGTACTTGTCCCGCCTACGTCACAAACTATAGCATCGTTCACACCTACAAAAACACGTCTCATTTATCAGCCACTATGTATTTCATAATAGGGTTGCAGTCTACCCTAGAGTCCACAGAATGGCAAGAGGCAAAGGATATCTGTTAAAGGCGACTGACATTGTTGAGACAAGTACAATATATTCTATCCTTATTATATCCTCTCTTATTTCTTCCACCAGATGGCAGAACTACACAATGTGTAAATGTACAGAAATATATTTGATGTTGTAGGTTCATGAAGCAAAATATGAGCTGCAAAATAATCTATAAGATGGCAGCTGCAGTTACAGAGCAAACCATCGAGTTAGAAAAACATTTTCATGCGCTATTACCTTTTAAATTTTCAGGAGGGAAATGTGGCCTTTTGAACAGAAACTGAACTAGCTATTCATGTATATATAGCGGAGCAAGTATGCTGGGAGACATTCAACAGGATATATGCAGTCATCAATGTTCCCAGTCTTGGTCTGGAACATAGGAATTCTGGAAGGTATTAATAGAAACACAGGTGGTACATTAATCACGAGGTGAGATGTTGCCTCTATGCAACAGTGCTAGTTTAGGGGTGCTGGAAAACTATGAAGCCCTATGAGTATGAACATGGTGAGCAGGTTAGGCATGTTGATTGTTGTATCCATGTCTCAGTACTGCATCAGCATTGGACGACACAGGTGCAGGTAGGTGTTGTGGTTAGCACTACGTGAGGTGCATATGTTATCTCTGTGTCTCTGAACTGTACCGGATAGATAAGCTGCACCACGCATGCTGTTGGTGGAACCAGACGCGAACGTATGAACTGGATACTCGAGCGTCTTCTCTGAACTGCGGATGAAAAAGGGAGCAGTGTAAAAGATTCTATTCGAGCATCAAGGCACAAGGTAAATTTAAGGCACAAGGTACAAGGTAAATTTAAGGCACAAGGTACAAGGCACAAGGTAATTATAGCCCTGCTTGAAAAATGACAAGCAGCCAAATGCCTTCTGTCCACCCTCCAAGAAATTAGTTTTACTGATACCACTGGTCTAGACTCAGTCATGCACTGAAAGTACTCAATGTTAGGCCCCACTAACAATATTCACAAATATACAATTAGCACCTTTCCTATGATAAACCATTTTTATGCTTGTCCATGGCTTTACTAGTAGTAGTACTATGATTATATTAGGTGGTATTTTATTTTACTATGAAATCAGTTTTATAAGCCAAATTCTATCACGATCATCACTGCAATAATGTGAACTACTTTTGCATAATGCAGTCATATGTACGGAACACCGCCCAATACTAGAGAATTGTGCGAGTCAATTTATGCACACGAAAAACAACTAAAAACCACCTGATGAGTGTTCCATCATTTTGAGTCAGGAAAAATGGGCAATGCAGTTGTAGTTTGTCCAGCGCACCACGGAAGGCCTCCAGTGTACGTCTGCAGAGCGGCTTCAAGCTCTCGTTCAAAATGGCGGCATTTTCACGCTCTAGAAGGCCAAGCTGGCCAACCAGGTGTGACAGCGTCATGGTTACATCTGGATACTCACTGCGGATGATCTCACAAACCTGGGAGATTAAGAGCCATGCTATCATTAAGTTAAGTATATAAAAACCACATATAGTCTATAGCTGACACATATAATTAATGGCAATTTAATTTCGTGTTGACCTTTGCAAATAAACCTTTGACACATATCAGGGTGACTAAACAATAAATTTTGCACAAGGGAGAGATAGTGATTCGCTAGGGGACGGCTCTGATTGGCTAATTTTGTCTCTTACTTGTTTTTATTATTTTTGGCTAATTTTGTTTTATTTTAGAATTAGGGTTAGGGTTAGGGTTAGGGTTAGGGTTAACTGATTTCTATATCCATAACACACTAATAATGCGCCATCTAGCGAATCACTATCTCTCCCCTGAGACCTACTACTAAACAATTCACTACAATGTCAAATGTGGACATTATTTTTATAAATGTGATAACATGGTCATTCCCTCAATTAAAATTAGTGCTAATGCATCTGCTGTTTATATATCTATATACATCATCGATAAAACGATCACATATATAATAATTACTCTCAGACTATTTAACAAATATGTGCACTTAAAACCGAACTTCTACTGTACGATTCTTTCCGCAGTTGAATGATCGCATACCATAATTGCACCAAAGCTTTCAGGATAATGTCAAAACATCATGATCACGAATGAAATCATGTTAATATTAATCTGGCACTTAATTTTACATTAACCATGCATTAGTCGGCAGAAGTATGCGCACATATGCATTTGCTATTTAAATTGCAAATTAATGGCCCATTTCCCCAATGCTCTTTATTTTTGTTGTATTACTTGGGAAAACTTCCTGAACCCCTTCGTATAAATTTTCCATTGTGAAAGCTTTTTAAAATAACATTATCCACTCAAGCATTGCCCAGCAAGAACTTGGGACTCAAATTTTGTCAATCAATTAGCCTGCAAGCTAATTACAAGAAGTGACCTGCAGCGACCTCTTCATGCTACCATTAAACACCAATTAAGGCATGTTGAAAATAGCAACACATGCAAGGGTTGCGTGCACCGTTTAAAAACAAGAGGGTATAATGAGATAATGTATCGTAGCATAGGCATAGCTGGAAGCCCCTTCTGACTAAGAATTAAGACATTTATTTTCAGCTGTGTAAGAACTGCATCAAACTGGGTTGATTGCTTGCACAAGGTTGGTTAGGTTCATGCAGGATCATAACGAATCATAGGAAAAAGAGACATCTCTTTAAGAAATTTCCCCAGCTCGTTCAATCTTAACAAAGCCGTAAGTTGTCACATCTTTTCACCTTTACTGTCAGTATGGATTTCCCAGGAACCGAGGTTAATGGAAGCAATCGGTTTATTCAGTTTTTACAGTTTCAAAGAAAAACTGTTCCATTGTAATCATGATAATTTACCATGCTTGCCTAATTGATGCTTTATGCCAGATGACAATATAAATATCAGCTGCATATACACGTTTGAATACTCTGCGTGGCAGCTAGGTACTTCAATGCACACATTTGCAAAAGTGTTTTGATGAATGTAGCTTTGTGAATTGTATCCATACGTGACAATACTTTTCTGCTGCTATCAATCCGTAGCAAGTAAAAGGTTCTAACTCATAAACTGCATGCGTGCGATATTACGATGTTACATCATCCACAATTACCCATCCACGTGTGTAGTGCATGCGTGTGGCTAGCATAAGTGACTATAGCTATCGTTGCCACTACTACGGGCATGCACACGGTGCGCATTCGGCGCGCGCCAACGGCGCTGCGCGCGCAACTTATCTATCGTGTTTGATTTTTCTGGTTCAGAATGCGCACCGTGTGCTGGCTGGTTTACTAGCGTATATATGCGTATTACTAGCTATTACGTGCGCAAATGGCGTTGTAAACGGCGTAATGACGTCAGCCGTTGGCGCGCGCCGAATGCGCATCGTGTGCCGGGATCGTATGCGGGGGCCTTTACTGCAGTGCAACTACCACGGGCCTGTGGCAATTGCAACGCGGAGTATAGTAGAGGGGGGGGGAACGGGTATTTTCGGGACGCGGGATTGGCCTTTTTAATTACCTGGGAACTGGGAAATGTCAGATAAATTTTCCGTGATTCGGGAACAGAAGTCCATCGGGACGTGGGAAAGACCCTCTAAAATTGTCTGGGATCTGGGAAAATTGTGTCAATTCGTCGGGATTTCAATTTCTGCGCTAATATTTATTAAAAAATTTAATTTTAATTTTTTTTTTATTAATTATGCCCAGATAAATAATAGCCTCGTTCACATGACCTCGTATTTCTAAAATACCGGATTTGCGAAATACCGTATCTGAGACAAATACGCGGCCGAGCGTTCACACGCTGATTCGCGGCTCCAGAAATACGGTATTTGCGAAATACCGAATCTGAGACAAATACGCGGCCGAGCGTTCACACGCTGATTCGCGGCTCCAGAAATACGGTATTTGCGAGCTGCGAGCTGATTTAAACAATCAAGCAAACAATGCGAAATAAACAATGCAATGCG